GGCAGGAGAATGGCGGGAACCCGGGAGGCGGAGCTTGCAGTGAGCTGAGATCGCACCACTGCACTCCAGCCTGGGCGACAAGCGAGACTCCGTCTGAAAAAAAAAAAAAAAAAAGAAAAAAAAAAAATCGAGATTTTTACACCTTCTTTTTTTTGCATTACAACTTGAAACTTAGTGTCTCTTTTGTGCATACAACACATCTCAATCTGGACCAGCCACTCGTCTGAGACTCAGGAGCCACCCATCATCAGTGGCCGTCAGACCAGCCAGCGCACCTCTAGGTTTTTCACTCCTAGCTGCCTCCTAAGCCCTAGCCTTTCCCCTAAAGTGATAATTGTGAAGCCCTTTGGGAAAGCGTCAGGTGGAAAGCGTCATTCACTAACTTAAATGATTTTCAGCACCCTCACAGGAGTCACTAGAAGAGTAGGAGATGGAGAAAATCTGAGAACCTCAGGTTGGGAGTCCGAGCGGGTACAGGCACCCTCTTTCTTGCTTCCTCTGTGGGCAGAGGACATCTTGGCACCACTGAACTCACACGCTCACAGGCTCCTCTACAACCTACTAAACCCCAAGCCAAGGTGTGCAGTTTGTACTACTAATAGGTCTGCATTTCCCTTTATCTCACCTTCCTCTAGAAGCAAGCAGGCTTCTAGAAACTGCAACAGGGCAGGCTGGTGAGGCCCCTGCCTCAGGGAGAAGGCTGAGGAAGGCACTGGGAGGCAAAGAGGGCAGAGAAGGAGACCCTACGGAGGAGAAAAGACCATGAACTTCAGGTCAGCCGGTTCTGGTTCTCAGCTCCACCACTGAGGGGTTGTGTGAGCTCCCTGAGCCTCGTTTCTTCATCTGCAAAAGGTGGGGAACAGCAGCACTGACCGCTTGGGGTAGTTTGAGATGAGAGAATAAAGGCTGGGGGCCTGGCATGAAGGACAGTGACCACGTGTGGCTTGCTTCTGTCTGCAGAAGCCATGGTACTCTCTGAAGGGTCTCCCAGTCTCTGCCGAGCCACCCTCCTCACTTGCTAAATCTTCTGCCTCCCAGGGTGGATGCCCCGTTCATATCCCCTTAGCAGACTGCCAGGCATCTCAGATGGTTCCTGCATCTCTCTGCCTAAGGATGCTCTCCAGGCCTGCAAAGGGCTGGGGTGGGCAGTGGGTGGGGAGAACTGCCTACGAGTCAGGAGGTCCAGGATGGACACCCAAGCAGGAGGGATGGGGGTTGATCGAGCAACCTGGAGTGCATTCTGTAGGATCTCCAGCGGGATGGAGCCCCCATTGCCCATAGTGATAACCCACTCATTATTATTGAGCTCGAATTGGCTGTCTTCCCTCCCGACCTCCCCGACCTCCTCTACTGTGTTTCCTGGGATCACCTCTCAAATACACTGCTCACATTCAAATCCTTGTGTCAGTGTCTGCTTCTTGGGCAACCCAAACTAAGGCACTCCTCATCAGCCACGCCCTTCCTCCTTCCGTCCTGCTGTAGAAAGCTTGCTCATCCTTCAAGGCCCAGCTGAAAGACCACCTTTTCTAAGAAGCCTCCCTGACATGCAGTTAGAAACACGGCACCTCCCAGGACTTCCCTTTGGCATGAGCCACTTTTTCTTCTGTCTGGCATATCTGCTGTTTCCCTTGTCTCACAGTCAGATGTCTGAGTTATTCCTCCCTGTGTTGGCTGAGAGCTCCATGAGCACGAGGTGAATCCTAGGGCCTGTTACACATCAGGTCCTCAGGAAGCCTCTGCCAACTGTTGCAATGTTACTACTAGCAATAGCCAATGTTTACTAAGCACTTACAATGTAAGAAGCACGTTTATGGAATTCTGGCCCCAAAACCTCACAACCACCACTTTAAGTGGCAAGTATTAAAATGATCACACCCATTCTAGAGATGGAAAAACTAAGGTGAAAGATGAATAATTTAGACCAAGTCTCACAGTCAGTTAACTCAGATCAGGAGTTCTTAACTACTATGTGACCGCCTCAACTTGTAAACTCTTCTCTGAGAAGCTGCCAGTCCCTAATATTTCCCTTAGTCTCCAGCAATGGAGGATTAACTCAATCACAGGGGAGGCAACGCCATCAGCTCAGTGTTTACTCCAGTTGACGGTACCAACAGCCAGCCATGCTCCCTGGGCCCCTTGCACTGTGTCCTAGAAGCCAGGGTTGGGGGATTGACCACAGAATCCACCCAGGCAGGGAATGCCCTAAGGACATCCTCAGAGATGATGTCCTTGAGACACCCTCAAGGAGGGGCTGAGACACCCTCCAGGGCCGCCAATGGCCAGCGACCTCAGGAGTGGCCCCGATTTCCTGCCCCTGGGTCAGGAGGAAAGCCCAGCTTTGCTTCTGCTGGATGGGTCCCTTGACAGCCTCAAGACCTTCCCCTAGGCCTCTTATAAGACCCCCCACTGCCCTATGGCTCCTCCACCACTCCCTAAGCATTCTCCTCACCCCCACCCGATGGCCAGCTTAGCCTCACAGAGGTCACACTTTTACTGATTCACTGGTGCTAGGAAAAGAAGCCATATAACCAGACCCAAAGAGCACACTGTGGGATTCCATTTACATCAAGCTCAAAAACAGGCAACAGTAACTTAAGCTGTTAGGATTTGCAACAGTGGTTTTCCTTGGAGAGAAAGAGGTAGACTGGGAGGGGTAGTGACTTCTAGTGGCTGGAAATATTCTGTTTCTTGGTCTGACTGCTAGTTGCACGAGTGTGTTCACTTTGTAAAACTTCCTAAATTCACTGAGGTCGACACTTAGGATCTGTGCACTTTTCTGGAGGTATATTAAACTGAAATGAAAAGTTCTCTTTAGAAAAAGTTTTTGGCTGGGTGTGGTGGCTCATGCCTCTAATTCCAGCATTTTGGGAGGCCAAGGCAGGTGGGTTGCTTGAGCCCAGGAGTTTGAGACCAGCCTGGGCAACATGACGAAATCTCATCTCTACAAAAAGTACAAAATAAAAAAAAAAATTAGCTGGGAGTGGTGGCACGCACCTATAGTCCCAGCTACTAGGGGGGCTGAGGTGGGAGGATCAGTTGATCCCAGGAGTTGGTGGCTGCACTCCAGCCTGGGTGAGAGAGAAAGATGTTGTCTCAAAAAAAAAAAAAAAAAAGAAAGAAAGAAAAGAAAAGAAAAAGTTTTAAAAAAGAAAAACAGAAAAGAAATATGTTAGGATTCCAGCCACTCTCTAAGGTGGCAGAAACTCTTTCCAGACCAGGGAGGCAGCTCACGACCAATCCTCTAAGAGCAATCACGCATGATATGAACTAGAAAATAGGATGCAGAGGCCTAAGAAGGAACCTGTATGAGGGCTGAGTAGCTGGGAGCCCCATCTGGAGGGAGGAAAGTGTCTTCCCATCCCTACCAAAATACCAAGGACTGAAATAGTAAACCCTTTTTTTTTCCTTGAAACCAGGTCTTGCTCTCTTGTCCAGGCTGGAGTGCAGTGGCACAATCATAGCTCACTGAAGCCTCAAACTCCTACGTTCAAGCGATCCTCCAGCCTCAGTCTTCCAAGTAGCTAGGACTATAGGCATGCACCACCATGTTTGGCTAATTTTAAAATTTTCTTGGGCAGACAGAGTCTTTCGATGTTGCCCAGGCTGGTCTCCAACTCCTGGCCTCAAGCAATCCTCCCACCTTGGCCTCCCTAAGTGCAAGGATTATGAGAATGAGCCACTGCACCCAGCCTGCAGGTAGCAAATTCTATAAGTCTGTTGGGAGGGTGGGTGGTAGCCTGGATAGGGTTGAATGGGTTAAGATGGGATGGGATAGGATGAGCTGAAATGGATTGGAGTGAGATGGGCTGGTCTGAGGTGGGCTGTGATAGGACGAGATGGGATAGGACACGATGGGCTGGGATGGGCTGAGATAGGATGGGGATTTGAAGATAGGACCCACATTGTAAAGGCCTTTACACGAAGCCCAGCAAGATGAGAGATGAGGAGTCTGGATTTCGTTCTGTTCAGAGTTGGAGATTTCTTGGGGAAGTCGAGTCCTTAGAATTCTCCTGGAGGGATTACTCTGGCAGAGGTGTGGACAATGGAGCTCAGGTGGGAAAGCATGGAGGCCAGGTGTTTCTAAGATAGAAGCAGTGAGGCCGAGACCAGAGGCCAAGGGCACCCCCAGCACTCTGTGAAGAACTGGAACTGGGGAGAACCTGGATTCCCACTTCCTAAGTCAGGAAACTGAGGCAGGTCCAAGGACAGGAAGACGATTGCCTGCCAGGCTCCAGTAGAAGGCTCGACGCTCCTAAAGGCAATGAGCTCCTTTTTGTCTCCCAGGAGGAACACGATGCTATCCAGAGAGAGGCTTATGTCCCAAGAGAGAAGCATAAAATACTCATTGTGGGGCCACAAGACCCACATTCCAGCAGCCAGGACCAAAGGGCTGAGCTATGGCAGGCCCCGTGTGTGCCATGCATCATGATTCTCAGAATACTTCCAGCCAGGGATCCGTTTTGAGCCTCACTAGAACTCACATCAGTATCTCCATTTTGCAGCGGTGAAAGGCAGGCTACCACAGGTGGCTCACCTGGCCCAAGGTGACACAGTTGGCAGGTGGCAGAGTCAGGAGGTGAACCCAGAAGGATTGGCCCTAATGCCCCATCATCTTGTGATCTTTCTTTTTTTTTTTTCTTTTTTTGAGACAGAGTCTTGCAATGTCACCCAGGCTGGAGTGCAGTGGCATGATCTTGGCTCACTGCAACCTCCGCCTCCCAGGTTCAAGCAATTCTCCTGCCTCAGCCTCCCAAGCAGCTGGGATTACAGGTGCCCACCACCACGCCCAGCTAATTTTTTTTTGTATTTTTAGTAGAGACAGGGTTTCACTATGTTGGTCAGGCTGGTCTCGAACTGCTAACCTCGTGATCCCCATCTTGTGATCTTTCTAGAAACACAACATTGTTCCATGGTCTCGACCTGCTTCTTTGGTGGGGAAGAAACAGGAGCTCTTGGCCAGAATAACAAAACAGAGAACCAAGCCCGTGCTCCCCACTCACCTGTGTGGGTGCGGACGTGCCTCTTCAGGTCGAAGGTGTCATTGAAGCCCTTGCCACAGAAGGTGCACAGGTGTCTTTTCACCTGATTGTGGCACTTGAGGTGACGGTTCAGCATGCGCTGCAGACGGAAGCCCTTGCCACACAGGTCGCAGCTGTGAACCACCGAGTCGCTGCATGTGCCTGTGGTAAACTGGGGGCAGAGAGAGGCTGTGAGGGTCCCCGAGCAAGCAGGCACATCCAGTAGGTTCACTCCAGAGACCCACCTCCTGTGTCTTGAGGCTTGCCCTGTCTGCAGCTTCTGCCCCTAAAATTTTCAAGCAGGTTTTGGCTTTGGGAAAGGTGAAATAACAACTGGCGGTTCCTCCCACTTTTTTTTCTTTTTTTTTTTGAGATGGAGTCTCACTTCGTTGCCCAGGCTGGAGTACAGTGGCTCGATCTCAGCTCACTGTAACATCCACCTCTTGGGTTCAAGCAATTCTCTTGCCTCAACTCTCCAAGTAGTTGGGACTACAGGGGCACATACCACCACGCCTGGCTAATTTTTGTATTTTTAGTAGAGACGGGGTTTCACCATGTTGGCCAGGCTGGTCTCAAACTCCTGACCTCAGGTGATCCATCTGCCTCAGCATCCCGAAGTGCTGGGATTACAGGCATGAGTCACAGTGCCCCGGCCAGTTCCTCCCACTTTTAATTCTCCCCTTCTTCCTTAGAACAAACCTCTGACTTCTAGCTGGGCATACTGTCTTACAGCATCCTATAGGCATATGATGGGGTATGGATGTTAGGCCCCTCCAAATGTCGTGTTGAAATGTGATCCCCAGTGTTGGCAGTGGGGCCTGGTGGGCGGTTACAGGGGCAGATCCCTCATGAATGACCTGGTGCCGCCCGGTAGTAAAGAGTGAGCTCTTACTCTCCTCAGTTCATGGGAGAGCTGGCTGTTTAAAAGAGCCTGGCGGCCAGGCGTGGTGTCTCCTGCCTGTAATTCCAGCACTTTGGGAGGCTGAGGTGGGTAGATCACCTGAGGTTGGGAATTTGAGATCAGCCTGACCAAGATGGAGAAACCCCGTCCCTACTAAAAATACAAAATTAGCCGGGCGTGCTGGCGCATGCCTGTAATCCCAGCTACTCGGGAAGCTGAGGCAGGAGAATCAGTTGAACCTAGGAGGCAGAGGTTGCGGTGAGCCAAGATTGCGCCATTGCACTCCAGCCTGGGCAGCAAGAGCAAAACTCCATCTCAAAAAAAAAGAAAAGAGCCTGGCACTTCCTCCCCTCTCTCTTGCTTCCTCCACCATGTGACACACCTATTCCCCTTCCGCCTTCTATGAGTGGAAACTTCCTGAGGGCCTCACCAGAAGAAGACACCAGCACTATGCTTCTTGTACAGCCTGCAGAATCATGAGCCATAAACCTCTTCTCTATAAATTGGCCAGTCCCAGGCATTCTTTATGGCAATGCAAAATGGACTAAGACAGCATGGCCATGAAATAGAAATCTCCTTGAAGGGGAACAAATGGTGCCCTCTTCCTCCTTCGCTCCTTCCTGCTGACTACAGCGCCAATAGCCACCTTGGACCATGAGGTGGAAGTGCGTGCTGAGGATGGAGGAGAAGAAAGGAGTCTGGGTCCTGATGACGTCATGGAGCCTGGTATGTTATATTACAGACAGTACCCAAAGAGAGCCACACTCAATTCTGTCCTCCTTGTGCCTGTATCCTGCTCCATTTACCAAGAGATGGAAACTGTTTTCCCTCTCCTTGAATCTGGGTAGGGCTTATGACCAGTTGGATCAATAGAATGCAATGAAGATGTGTCCGTTCCAGGTTTTAAGAGACCCTGCAGCTTCCACTTCTTCCCTCTTGTAAACCAGCTGCCACATAAGAAGTCTGAGGCCGCCATGCTGTGAGGAAGCCCATGCTAGCCATGTGGACAGCCAAAGGCCACATGGGGGAGCACGGAGGAGCCAGATATGAATAAAGCCTCACTGGACTCTCCAGCCCAACTCAGGGCTGCCACCAGCTGAATGAGTGGCCTCCGCTAATGCTACTCAGAGTAGAACTGCCTAGCAGAGCCATGCCTATGGCTTTTGTCTTGACCCACAAAATCATAAACGCATAAAATTATCAGTTTGTAAAGTGACTTGGTCAGGACTCCACAACTTTGTTACACAAAGCAAACACAACCAGACCTGGGTCTGGGCTCCCTGCTGAGTGCTTTCCACCACCTTTGCTACTGCTGAGGAAGAACATAGAATCTACATCTGTGTGATAAAAATGATGTGTTCAATTTTAGTATCTGATTTGGTAACTTTCGAACATGTGACGTGAATGTTACCAAATCAGACCCTTTAGAAGATGGATCCCATTGCTCTGCCAAAATTCATCACTAGCAAGAAGACTGGTTCTTTCCTGGCTCCACGCTCTCCCAGCTTCAAATACTCTCCTCTTTCATCCACCCTGGGTATTGCCCTCCCAAGACTCAAGGGAGCTCAGTTGCTCCCTTGCCAACGCAGCCTTCTCCAAATACTGCAGCCCATGACTAAACTGCTCACTGTCCCACGTAAACCAGTGCCTCTCAGACTCCAGCATACCTATGCCTCCTCTAGGGTCTTGTTAAAATGCAAGTTCTGATTCAGGAGGTCTGGTAGGGTCTGATGTGCTGCATTTCTAACCAGAGCCCAGGAGATGCCACTGCAGCTGGCGCACATGCTACACTAGCCCTGAGAAGTCATGCTATATTCCATCTCATTCCCAAGATTCACTATGCACACAGTTCATCTGATTTTCTCAACTCAACACCTTGAGGATGGTCGGCAAGCATTCAGTCCCATTCCTGCCTCCCTACCCCCTGCTCCAAGCCTAGTCTAGGGCCAGTGCACAATCAGCATGTGCTGACCGGCAGCTGGGAGCAGGTGGCAGGATGCAGAGTCTCAAGGGAGGCACAAGACCCCAGAACAGGGTATTCCAGTCAGCCTTTTCCACCAGTTCATTTTCCTTTGCTTGGAGCTTAATTTGCCCCAGCTAACACTGAGAAGTCCCTGATCCGTGACAAGCCCTGTGCTTACAGCTGGAGGCAATACAGTTAGAGATGGTTTAATCCCCAGTCCCTAGGAAGCTGCCGAGTCTAGTGGGGGGTGCAGGCAAGTCAACAGCCATTGACATCTGAGAGGCCCAGGGGTCCAAGGGGGCACCTACTCCGGACCTGCAGCACCAGGGAAGATGTTTCCAGAGGAAGTGAGCTCCTTAGCCAGGCAAACATGAGGAGGAAAAGGGGCACACAGCAAAGAACATTCCAGAAGAGGACGGTGGGAAAGAGGGAACTGTGTGTGGTTCAGCATGGCTAGCCTGAGCCTGGGAGAGCAGTTAATGAAGAAAGCAGTGGTAGCTGAGAAGAGCAAGATCCCCTTAGGAGTCCACCTTGAGGGCCCTACTGGAGCTGGAATGTAGTCAAAGGGCAAGAGGGAGCCATTGGAAGACAAAGGGGGACCATCACAGCGGCTGAGTTCAATGACCCAATTGAGTCCTGGATCCTCATCAACTGCCTCACTCCCCAGAACTGCAGCTGCCCACCTCTGCCCAAGGCTTTCCTATCACCTAGGCAGATCACGTTCTCCTCCTTGTCCGACAGACCTCATCCTGCTCACAGCCACCCTTGGAGGGATTTGAAAAGACTAAATATGCTCCACTAAGTACTTTGAACTTCTAAAGACCAAGTGCGCACAAGGACATGTGAGTGGTAGTGAGGGGCTAATGAAATAGAACAAAGACAATTACCCTGGTAATTCCAATTAAAATTAGTAAAAACCTGCAACTGTCTTTTGAAAGTCTTGTAGAATGTCCCTAAGGACTCACCAACCACAGTTCAAACATGAACTCTTGTTTAATCTTTTTGATAAATTTCTATTTTTAAAATGCTCTGAATGCCATACAGATGTCTTCTATTGCAGTCTAGAGTGAAAATCTCAAATCACAGGCATTATTTTGTTTGAAAAGAATAAGATCTTAAAGGGCACAGGAAAGGGAGATCAGTGACAGTTTAAGGGAGTACGGGGCCAGTAGATCATCTGACCAAGACATAGAAAGCATTTTATTTAGTTTTGTTTGTTTTTAACCTTTTTTAGAGATGAAATCTCACTATGTTTCCCAGGCTGGTCTTCAACTCCTATCCTCAAGGGATCCTCCTGCCTCAGCCTTCCAAAGTGCTGGGATTACAGGCATAAGCCACCATGACTCTCCAGGAAGCTTTATAAAACAGGGGAGAAAATGGGAATGGAGAGAAGGGGTTGGAGACTCAGAGCACACCTAATTCTCAAGGGGACCTTTCCTCTGGTTTTCTTGGAGCAAAAATGAAAATTCTCCACATACCCCTCAGCAAAGGCAATTTTTTCATTTCTCCCCATTTCACAGCATGGAAAGCTGAATCACCAAGAAGTGGCTCATGTAGGGAATTCACCCTGTGGCACACCCTCCAATCCATTAAGTGCTGCTTACCACCCTTATGACCAATCCAGACATCAGATATTAACAAATTACACTCAAAGTCTTCAGGAGCCTTGTTGAAAAAGATGTAATGTTACTTAATGGCAAAAAATCATGGCTGACAAAGCCAGCTTCTGCCAGACTATTTCACTTCTCAGAAAGGAAGGGATCTTTGTCAATTCCTAAACATGAAATTTATCCCCAAAAGTATATTTAATGTGGCTTGTGCCTTGAAATTTGGTTTGTAATAGCAAAGGACTGGAAACTAAATATATGTCTATCAACAGGCACTTGTTAAAAAATGATGGCAGAGGGCCGGGCACAGTGGCTCAAGCTTGTAATCCCAGCACTTTGGGAGGCTGAGGCAGGTGGATCACCTGAGGTCAGAAATTTGAGACCAGCCTAGCCAACATGGAGAAATCCCATCTCTACTAAAAGTACAAAATTAGCCAGGCACAGTAGTGCATGCCTGTAATCCCAGCTATTCAGGAGTCTGAGGCAGGAGAATCGCTTGAACCCGGGAAGCAGAGGTTGCAGTGAGCCGAGATCGTGCCATTGCACTCCAGCCTGGGCAATAAGAGCAAAACTCCGCCTCAAAAAAAAAAAAAAAAAAAAAAGATGGCAGAACCTTACAATTAATGCACTGGACAAAGGTAAGAGGCTAGAAGCAGTTCAAGTGTCACCTGCCAGCCATGTGAATGAGCCCTTGTGGATGT